GAGCAGCGAAGAAAGAACGGAAACAATTTCGACTTTTACAATCCGTCTCGCTAGGGAGACCCTTAACTTTCTCGCAGTCTGAGTGGAGGAAAAGTGGCCGGCGAGAGGTTTCGAAGGGCTCGGAAGGGCTTGAAAGGGCCTCGGGAGGGCGTCCGGGGTCAAGGACACGGCGAGGCCACTTTGCCGGTCAACTTCCACGTAAGTCCTTTGGGTACAGGCTTGTAGACGGCCCACGAACCGCGGCAACGCAGGCCGAGCGCGTCCCGCCCGCGCGACGGTGCGACCCGCTTCGCGATCGAATCGGGTCACCCAGTCACCCGACACCTAATCGCTCGAATAGGTCGAAACCGCGACTTCCCCCCCGACGTGTACGAGAGGGCGATTCCGTATCGACGCCCTTCCACGCAAACTTCCGGCTGAACAGGACTCCGATCACCGTCCGATATCGTTCCGAACCTTGTCGTTGTTGCCTCTCACAAAGCGCCAAGACCTTCGCCTCGCGTAGATCATAGTTTCCCGTGGATCCTAAATTCTAGTATCCAACAATAATCTTATAATTTTCGATATATTAGGTTCAATACGCGAAATTGTTCAGTTGCCTGCGATGCAAGTAACGACTTGAAAATAGGGTAGTGTTGGGTGACCGATCGGTGTGCCTTTGGTTTGTTTATGCAGGGTGTCTCAGTAACTGTATTACAAAGCGATATCTCCATTATCGTTAATGATACGCGGAAATGCTTGAGGAACAAATTGTTTGGTTCGAAGGGACACATATTGTGGTGGAAATCATTTTTTTGTAAAGGTCAAATTTTTTGAGATTTCAAGGTCATCGATGTTTTTTCAAATGGGATTGCATATTTCTATTATTATATCATGATAGCTAAGATCAAGACGAATCTAATAACGTGTAATACCATGACCTTCGTGTGACCATGGGTACGAAAAATAAAGAAATTTTTAGACATGGACAACACGTTTATTGATACCAAATGCCAGCATGTTTATATATATATGTTATGTTCCTTTCGGTAGACATCACGCTTTTTGGTATAACGTTTTGGTACGGAGTATGGAGCTCTGTCAGAGTGTTCATAATCGAATTAATAAATGTCTTGATTTTATTTTTCGTACCCAAGGTCACACGAAGGTTATGGTATTATAGGTTATTAGATTCGTCTTGATCTTAGCTATCATGATATAATGATCGAAATATGTAATTCCATTTGAAGAAACATCGATGACCTTGAAATCTCGAAGAATATAACCTTTACAAAAAAATAATTTCCACCACAACACGTGTCCCTTCGAACCAAACAATTTGTTCCTCAAGCGTTTCCGCGTATCGTTGACGATAATGGAGATATCGCTTTGTAACAGAGTTACTGAGACACCCTGTATTCATCGAGTAAGCTACATTACATTTTTCTACTCGAAAATAAACAAAATAAAAGAAGGAAAAAATTTCTTTATCAAAAAAATGAACGAAATGAAAGAAGAAACAAAAATATTTCATTCAAATATAAACAGAATAAAGGAATAAGGAAAATGTAATAAATGTAATAAATGTAATAAATGTCTCGTTCGATAAATATAAAATTAATTATACCATAAAACAAAACAATGTCACAGCAGTTGATTAGTACAATAACCGGCTCCGTTGCTCTAACGCATAAAACGCTGTTTTGTACATCGTTTCCTCACTTTTTTTCTTCTACGCGTGTAAAATTTGTTTACAGAAGCTTCGTCTTCGTTAAAAACGAGTTTAAAAGTTCATAAGTTCCGCCTTGAAAGCGAAGCACACTGTGCAAGAGAGAACTTTGTCCTGCGTTTTTCGACATGCTTTTTCCCCCGCGCACTCACTTCCCCCTCCGCCCAGCCGCCGTCTTGAGCTAGAGAACCCCGCGTAGAAGACTAATGAAAGGAAATTCGCATTAATTACGGGGACGCTGTGCGAGGTTCTGCGGTGACAACGTCTCTTCCCGGTTCGCTCGGCGAACGAGGACGACAAAAAGACAGTTTTCCCGCGGTCGCTCCGCAGATAAGAAAATCGGCGAATGGCGAACGGCCATCGGCGGCGCGTTCGGCCTTCAAAAGAGAAACGCAAACCCCCGGCTATGTAAATGGTAAATGGATTGCCTTCGCGCGGTTTCATATCTCGTTATCCTACAGCGAAACGTTGCTGAATAATGCAACGAGCAACGAAGCAATTATTCCCAGGGAGATTAATGTAATAGCGATGAACCGGCGTGTTAGGACTTGCGGAACTATCGGGATTCCCTTTCGTCTCCCCGACATTCGGCGAGAGAAACAGTTCGCGATTTCCTCTCTTTTCTTTCGCTCCCGAGCGAAGCAACACAAAGAAAAAAGGAACAGAAAAAAGAAGAAAAAAGAAAAGAGAACCTTGAGAGTTTTTTTTTCTCGGGGGAACTTTACAGAATCGCGCGTTCCTCGAAGGTTCTTTCCGGCGTTGCTTTTTTTTTCTATTCACGCGAAGCTATGTAAAAGCGTCTTTCAGCCATCATCCCAGGGGTTTAATCGTCGATCACGCTCAACTTCGGGAACAATCGGCAGCCGCCTTTAATTCTTTCGCTTGTAATCCAGAGTTTCCTTTCCTTCGGACCATTTATCAACGACAGCCTCCCGCCCGGCCATTCTGCCGCCGTTTTTCACCGTCCGACGTCCGGGATTTACTTTCCATTCGCGCACGCCAGCGTCGACGATAATCCATCCACGCGCTCGATTCGACGTGTACCTACGCGTCTTCTTAATCCAATTGCCTTCGATCCCGTTTATACGACCAGCTCGCCTAAAATGCATTTCGTCGAACAATCGCAACATTTCGCGACGGGAACATTTCACCCGCGGGTGGATCGAAGACAAATTAATAGCAGCGCGGATTCGATGAAACCGGCGCGCGTCCGAGGAAGTAAAGAAAACGATAAAACAAGCACGGTGTCTTCGGGAGTTTCTCCAAACTGGGCCATTCGATCGGACGTTGTCGATAAAGAAACCGAGAAATTCGATTCCTGTTCGATTCCTGTTATAAGCAACGATTGGAAAAAATTCCGAAAACATCCGCTTCGAACTATTATATCATCGGTTCCGACTGAGACTGTTGTAAAGAACCGGGAAGATTTCGGAACTGTTACAAGGTGTATCGGTTTTAGATTATTTCGGTTTCTGTGCCGAAGAAACGATAATATTGCATCGGTTCTGCGGGACACGAAAATCTCTTGCAACCCGGAAATAGATATTGAACGGCTCGAGGACATTCCTGAGGCTATTCGAAGTAACTTTTTCCTTAGCGAAAATGCAATCCGCGGCTTTGTTTACGAGTTATTAACGAAAAACACTGACCAATAAGAGACGAGCTCGCCTGGCGCGACGTTGCTGGCACAGCCAACGAGCGCACGAAGGCCAGTTCCGCTCATTGGCTCGGCCGTCTCGCGTCAGCTGATCTTGCCTCTCATTGGTCAGTGTGTTTCGTTGATAACTTGTAAACGAAGCCGCGGATTGCATTTTCGCTAAGGAAAAAGTTGCTTCGAATGACCTCGGGAATCCACTATTTATGGATTGCGAGATATTTTTGGGACACCATGTATACCAACGAGAAGACCGAAATTATCGTCGCAACATATTGTACAATAATTATTTTTACTAATTTTCATAAGCGATAATATCTTCACACAGTTATACAGTAACTGTTATTTTTCGGTTCCGGGTTTCGGTTATGCATTTCGGCTATACAGTAATGTCACCCTAACTGACGCTCAGATTATGCTGAAATATGCAGAAAAATGAACAATTTGGGAAGAGGAGATACGATTATTCGAGCCATGCAGCTCGTTTTTATAATTCTCAATAATTCGTAAATATAAATATGAACCGCAAGGTTTGAATAATCGTCTCTCTTCTCCCTAAATTGTCCATTTTTGTGGACAATCTGAGCGTCAATTAGAGAGACATTACTGTAGCTCTACTTTTCGCAATAAATCTCACATCTTTGTAATACTTTACATCATTCACACGGATCCGAAACCAAGAATCGAGAAGTAACGGTTATTTTATTATTTAATATAACGTCAATTCTGAAGGACCGAACTCAAAAAACCGACATAAGCGAGAACCGATATTCCTTGTAACAGTTATGAGACTTTTGTCTGTGCTCCATAACTGTTTCAAGAACCGAAACCGATATCACGACCGTTTTCAACGCCTGGCCCTAAGTTATCACTGCAAGTTAACACTAAATCTACCAATATAGTAATACCAACCAGTAATACTAACTGGCACGTGCTGCTTCACAAAAGTGAGAAGACCGAATTTCTTCAGAATTTGTAAAGTTTTTATTACAAAACTTGTCTCAATAATATAACTTATTGAAGCGTTTTCCACGAAAGAGTCTCGGAACTTTGCAGAATTGCCAAATAAGAAAGCGGTCACTTTGACCGCGGTAGGTTTAGCGTTAACACAACTCTAAAGAACGTACAATTCCATATGCGTATTTGAAGAGCAGTTCGCGCGTGCGACGCTGGCGAACACCCCCTCTGTCAGCTGGTGTTACATAATTAACGAGCAAGGTCCTGCGGCATCGCGCGACCCTCCGCGGCGCGTAACTTTCTTCCGCGCTGAATAAATGCAACGCGTCTTGAAAAGGACGCTCCGGTTTTTGTAAGCAGGGATGTTCATTTAATAAATCCGGTGACATTTCGAGGACGTCGCGACGGTCCGTGGCACCGGTAGATCGGGGCTATCAGCTGGTAGTCAGTCCGCGCGACCTTTGCCAGGCTTATAATAGCCACGGTTCGTGCGAGCCGGGTCCGAAATTTCGCGGATTTCGTGCACGGGAGGGAAAATGGAACCGCGGGAACCATCCGGAACTCCGTTTACGGAGGCGCAGATCCCCTCGCGGTTCGTGACCGGTTCCCGATCCGTTCCGGAGCGACTCGGACGCGACACGAACCGTCGCGCCGACACCGACAGCTTTCGAAATTTTCCAGACGGCCATCGAGGACGGACTGATGCGCCAGAAATACTCGATAACTCGATAGATTAGCGCGTCCGACGGCCCCGTAGAGTCACCTTCCAGGAGAAAAAGTCGTCCGAGCACGAGGAGAAGGCTGGGAGCACCCTCGAGTGTCGCTCGCGGAAGTTTCGCCAGCGGAACCGAGAAGAAAGTCGAAAGACTTCCGAAGCTTTTCGGCCCGAAACTCTGTCCCGTGGCCGTCGAGTTTTCGGTGGCCGGCTCTGCAATCCGGGGCTGAGAGCTTCGACCGGGCTTTTGAATTCCGAGGATCTTCGACGAAAGCGAAAGATGCGGGCCGAGCGGTGAGACCGCTTTCGGAGCTCGCAGCGACCGAGAAAAGCCGGCGACGAGCCAGCGTCGAGTGGGACAACGCGTTAAAGCACCGGCCACAGGCAAACCCTCCGAGAAACATGGGCAAGAAGAATAGCAAACTGAAGCAGGATACCATCGATCGACTCATGCGCGAAACGTATTGTGAGTACCGCTACTTTCCTCTCATTGTTCTTCTCGCCTTGTCCACGCAACCACCCTCCCGTCGTCGTCGTCGTCGTCCTCCACCTACCAATCGCTGTTTCCGCCACGCGTGTTAAAAAAGGATTAACGGTAATGTGTTCGCCGGCAGCGTCATAGGCGTCCGACGTTCGCCATTTGGTATTTACCGCTGTGCCTGTTAACACTGAACGTACCGTGCCGTTCGAAATGGCTGGTCTCGCATTTGCTATTTTTAAATTGTTGAATTTATTGCACCGTTTCGTTTTACCGAGGGAAAATGAATTATGAATAATATACATTTTTTAAACGATACGATCAGTTTGTTCTACGATCTTTTGCAGTTCTTTTGGTAACTTTGAAATCTCACGATCATAGATATTCTGGACATTGTTGGCAAAATGATTTGATTTACTATAAAAACGATACAATCAGTTTGTTCTATGATCTTTTGCAATTCTTCTGGTAACTTTGAAATCTCACGATCGTAGATATTCTGGTCATTCTCGGCAAAATGATTTGATTTACTATAAAAACGGTATAATCAGTTTGTTCTACGATCTTTTGCAATTCTTTTGGTAACTTTGAAATCTCACGATCGTAGATATTCTGGTCATTCTCGGCAAAATGATTTGATTTACTATAAAAACGGTATAATCAGTTTGTTCTACGATCTTTTGCAATTCTTTTGGTAACTTTGAAATCTCACGATCGTAGATATTCTGGTCATTCTCGGCAAAATGATTTGATTTACTATAAAAACGGTATAATCAGTTTGTTCTACGATCTTTTGCAATTCTTTTGGTAACTTTGAAATCTCACGATCGTAGATATTCTGGTCATTATTTTCAAAATAATTTGATTTTACTATGAAAACTCTTTTACATAAATTTTTTTTATTTTATTATTATTTATAATTACACCAGACTCTTACGAGTCTATCGGTAATTTTGATACATGTATTAAAGCAGGTGGAAGGGAGACACCTATGTGTACCCTTTTCCTTTCGATATTTTTAGTATGTCATTAATTCATGGGGCTGGGTTCTCTTCAGTCTTCCTGTGTTGTATATATGTTTCCAATATTGATTAGATTGTTTGCCAGCTGATTTCGGTGATGTTGGAGTCTATTGTTGTTTCACATGAAATGATTGGATTTTCTTGTATCGAGGGCGCATTATAAAAATGACGAAGCAACACACGTCGATCGCTACTGGCGTTCGGTAGATTTATGTAGCGAATGTTTCATTTATTATCAAAATAATATAATTCTGACGTGGAAGAAAAATTTGGAAAAATTCTGCGGATCCTTCGGCAAAAAATTAAAATTCAGTTCCTAATTTTGTTTTCTGTGTTGCGAAATAGACTTCGAGAGGACAAATTCGGGGACACGAAGGTAGAGGTTCGGGTCTCAAAAATGAGCCAAGGTAGACGATCTTTTGTCACGAACTCGGAGCGGTTCAAATATCTGAAAACTCTTCGATGAAAACTTCGCAGTTCTTTAACTTCGCGGATTAAATTTGCAAGTCACCGTGCCGGATTTCGCTGTGCAACTTCCGGAGCACAGTTTCCGGGCGTAACGGGGGGGCAGGAAAAAAAATCGATTTTTTGAAGCAGTTACACGAGTCTGCCAAAGGGCACGGGAACGCGGCGCCTGCCGGCATCACGAAATCGCAAAATTTGCATTCCGCTCGCGTGCTGTTCGAGGTAATCCGGCGTTCGACCGTTTCATCGAATTACGTATAGCGGTTTTTCGGAACTGCACAGCGCCAAAGCCGTTCGATCCGCGGGGCGAAACGCTTCCCGAAGATGGAGCCGTCCCGATAACACCGGTGAATAAAGGAGACGGAAGAAACGCGTCCGCGTGGAACTCCTCGAGGAGTCGACCGCGTTGTAAACCCCGGCCATAGAGAATCAAACGATCGAAATATATACGCGATACTGTAGCGTTGCTCCATGGGGAAGCATATTCCGGGAGCTTGCGATTTGCCCGGAGTTAAGCTCGTCGTCGATTGCGGGCTAGAGAGCGGCGTTCGAATCGAGCCGCGCGTTTTATCGCGATTTCCATAAATTTTCGACGAGCTTCCCACCTTTTCGATCCCTCCGAAGGATCGTGCACCTGTCGCGTGTCGACCGGACGATGCTCGATTGGCTATGCACCGACCGTTTACCTTTCGTTTCTATTTTTCGTCCCCGATATTTTCATGCTATCCGACGTCCCGCCGATCGATCGCACGCTCGCACAGATCGCGAACTTCTAAAAACTGTTTGCGAAAATATTTCTTGCACTTCTGCGACACCGAAGTTTATTTTACGCCTATGAGTCGTCTTCATGCACGTCTTTGGACGCTCTGTGCAAGTCAGTTGCGAAACAAGTGAATAATTCTTCTATTTTATTTATTTATTGGTAATATAATCAACTAGTATCGTCATTGGTACAAATAGATGAATATAAAAATGGTAAGAAGAAAAAGGAGAAAACACGTGAAACACGTAAATCCATAAAGGCGACAGTCGCGGGCTCGCGTAATGCATGCATGCTGCAAAATGAAATTTTGAGTAAATTTAGCCGTGTCCGAATGAAATATATTGTACGCCATTTTATTCTACTTATTATTTCTTCAATTTTCATTCCATAAACACCTACAGTGACTCGCATTAATATTCGGACACGATATTGTTAGAAGAATTGTTGCTCCTTTTTATTGTTTATGATAGTATTATTGAATCAATTGTTTTCTCATATAATAATATTTGTTATCTCGGGATACTGATATTTTTCTCAGTATATATAATTTCGTATAAACATTAAAAAATCGCCACTTTTCATTACGGTAAAGGGACTTAAGCCACTTTCAAAATAAATAGTTTAGAAAAATGACTGACATATATTAATTTTGTCCGACGTATTTTACTGAAGTGATGTTTTGAAAGGGCAGTGATTTACTAAAATTGTCGAATAAATTACATATACGAGCCGTTTATTTTGAAAGTGGCATAAGTCACTTTTTTTTTTTTTTTTTTTTTTTTTAAATGAAAAGATACCGTTCAATTGTAATTAGTGTTACCATTAACTCGATTTTTTTGAAAAAGTGACTTATGCCACTTTCAAAATAAACGGCTCATTTAGAAGGGAATGTTGAGTACACGAAGTTCCACGGGATGCAATGTATCATTTACAAGAAACATCATCTACTGTAACAAAATCGGTTTCGAAAAGAACGGAAAATGATATTGTGGCGGACCAGACATAAAAAGACACGTCCTCCAAAAGCGGGGTGTGCATATGCCTTTTTCGGGTTTTCCCGACGCAAGGCGTACACACCGCAATAAAACAATAAAAACGTTGGGACACAGCTTCGGACCATAGGTCCCGGATCACCCCGGTCGGAAAATCTTCGGGAAAGGCCTTCGCCCTTCCCAAGGACTTTCCCTTACCAATTTCAATACGTTCTCCCCAATAAATACGAGGACCTCTCGACCGGGAGAAGTCAGTTAGCAAGTTTTCCTCCGACTCTCAACGTGTTCATATTTCTGTCTCATCCGTCACTCGTTTACCTTTACCTTCTACACACTGTACCCCATCGCCTTTTGTTACAAGTTATATTAAAGTTCTCGTTATATAAAAACCAAAAAAAACTCTCTCGGATTATTTTATATAAACCGTCGCAGTAACCCCTGCGACAAAATATGAAAATACAATAAATTGTTTTCTATCTCCGGACAAGCTCGCAAAGAATTGTGCAATATTTCTACCGAGGAAGTTTATCGCGCATCGTTCCCTGCGGTACTTCCGGTTGTTCTTCAAGGTGCGTAGGTGCACGCGGCCGTATTTTATTCCGCGGAATCCGGCCTTTCCGTCGAAAGAATCTCCCGAGCGACCTGTCCAGGCCACCGCGCCGAGAATCGCGAATACTTTCCGGTCTAGATACCTTGAAGCGAGCCGACTCTATCCGAGATCTGCCAGCCTATAAATAACGATTCACAAGATTTTTCATTGCGCCGTGTCTCTTCTTCCCCGCTGAAAACGAATCTCCCGGCGTGCGGAAAAATTCCGATACCCGAAAAAACGATACAGCGATTCCATGCGGAACCCAACCGAAGGGGGAGTACGTTGCAAGAAGAGAGAAATCGCGGAATGAATCGAGCCCGCCGTCGTCTTCGAGACGTCGCGCAGCGGAGTAACAGTGTCGAACAAAGCCGGTGTCAAGATCAAAGAACGTTTGACAGAAATGAGACAAAGCGTTTTTTTTACGTCAAAGCTGAAATGTTGCAGAATAGGCGGAAAACGGGGAGAATGTAGTATGAAGATTTTTTAATCGTGAAAATTTATGTTAAATTTTAAGTATTCCAGGAAAGAGATTGTGATTGATCCGATACCGTGTACAGTTGGATTTGTTTAATAATATGATATTTATCGTTTCCCGTAGATTTCGAATGAAAATTTCGATTTCAAATACAGTCACTAAATTTAAAGAAAATTTATTTCTGTGAAGAGTAGAGAAACGTCATTTTATAAAAGGATTGCCGTAATGGATAATTCGTTTATCAATAGTTATTAATAAGACATTTAAGCTATGATTCCGTATGCTTTCTTTTTATCACTTATTCATTTCGAATATAGTCACAGGCGTTTGAAGTGATGCATCTCAAAATTGTTGAAAATTAAAATCATCATTTACAATTTATAGTATACGGTAATTTCTCCACGAGTGTCGCGCAGTCGGAATTCAAAGTACATTTCAAGGGATCACAAATTCTTTGAGTCTCGCGGCATGTTTTTATAGTCGCCGACATCTCGTGAGGGAGAGAGAAAGGGAGAGAGAGGGAGACAAAGAGAGAGAGAGAGCTAGATGGAGAGACAGAAAGAGAGAGAGAATGAGACAGATGGAGAGACAGAAAGCGAGAGAGAGAATGAGACAGAGGGAGAGAGAGAAAGATACAGAGAGAGAGAGAGAACGAAATTCGGGGCAGTCGGCAAAAAAA